ACATCTTGGTGATAATTAGATCTTAGCAAACGTATTTAGGGCAAAAGATCAGAATCTCTGCATTCCTTTCCCAGTGGCTGGCTGCCGATCCTGCTTTCTGTGGGAGGCAACGTTGCCGGAGAAACTGGTGGAAGGACCTCGATTCAAACAGTTGGGTGGGAAAGAATCTCTGGGAGAAGAAATGCCATTCTTTCGGTCTTCTGCCACTTTTATTTTTTTAATCGGCCTCCCTCTTCACGCAGCGGAAAACGAACGAGTTGCAGGCTATTTGAACGGCCGTCTTTTCCCAGCTAAATCTACCCAACCCACCTGAGTGGGCAGACAAAGGATGTTATGGGTCCCCTCTCTTAAGGAGGTCCACCTGGTGGGACCAAGAAGAAGGGCCTTCTTGGTGATGGCTCCTTCTCTGTGGAACATCATCCCCATGGAGATAAAATTGCCTCTGCCTTGACACCCTTTTGAAAGGCCTGAAGACGGGGTTCTGACAGTGGGGGCCCCAGGGGAACGTGGAGAATAGAAATAGAAATAAATAAAAATAGGAATGGAATGGAATAGAATAGAGTAACAGAGTTGGAAGGGACTTTGGAGGTCTTCTAGTCCAACCTCCTACTCAGGCAGGAAACCCCGTACCAGTGGTGGCGAACCTATGGCACGTGTCCGTTTCAACCAGCCGCCCGCTAACTCGCCGAGGTCCCACATGGCCGGATGCATCCCAGCACCCATGCGCTCACTGGCCTGTGTGTGCATGGGCCCTGACTCGCTTTGCATTGTGACAATGGCACCCCCGCCCTGCCTCCCCTTGCCTCGCGAGCCTCCTGCCCACCGCCCCACCTGCCAGAGACCCCCTGGATCTCCCCCAACCCTGCCCGGCTCCCACAGGCATCCCTCCCCATGAGCAACATCGAGCTGGCCACGTCCACCCTAGCCACACCCATCCAGTCTGCCATGACCACCACAGCCATGCCCACCCAGTGGGCCACGCCCACCTGGCACCCGGCATTAAATAAGTGGGTTTTGGGTTGCAGTTTGGGCACTCGGTCTCTAAAAAGTTTGCCATCACTGCCCTATACCATGTCGGACAAATGGCTGTCCAGTCTCTTCTTAAAAACTTCCAGTGTTGGAGCATTCACCGCTTCTGGAGGCAGGTTGTTCCACTGGTTAATTGTTCTCACTGTCAGGAAGTCTCTCCTTAGTTCCAGGTTGCTTCTCTCCTTGATTAGTTTCCCTCCGTTGCTTCTTGTCCTGCCTTCAGGCGCCTTGGAAAATAGCTTGACTGCCTCTTCTTTGGGGCAGCTCCTGAGATACTGGAAGACTGCTATTATGTCCCCCCTCGTCCTTCTCTTCGTTAAACTAGACATCCCCAATTCCAGCAACCGTTCCTTATATGTTTTAGCCTCCAGTCCCCTAATCATCTTTGTTGCTCTTCTCTGCACTCTTTCCAGAGTCTCAACATCTTTTTTACATCGTGGTGACCAAAACTGGATGCAGGATTCCAATTGTGGCCTTACTAAGGCCTTGTAAAGTGGTATTAATACTTCACGTGATCTTGATTCTGTCCCTCTGTTAATGCAGCCTAGCACTGTGTTGGCCTTTTTGGCAGCTGCAGCACACGGCTGGCTCCTATTTAGGTGATTGTCCACTAGGACTCCCAGATCCCTCTCACAGTTACTACTATTGAGCAAGGTACCCCCTATACAAAAGGTGATTACAAGCGCACATCGGGGATCTGGGCACTCAGATTTAACTGCTGAAAGGAACCAGGAAGGACTCTGAGATAGATTAGCAGCAGCAGCAGCAGCAGATAAAAAAGTCCATCTCAAACTCTTCCAAGCCAAGCATCGGGTTTTGCAATTCAAGCGGTTTGGAGCCTGCTGGAAGAGTTTTTATCTTAAAACGCTTACAAAGTGCTTGGAACAGCAAGGGTGGAACTCGAAACACAAGCTGCACCAGGAGGCAGTTCCAACCAGGCTCCACACCCATTTGCCCTCCGATTCAGGAGACCCTGGGGGCACAGGTGAACCTCCAGGCGGCCTCAACGGCTCTCCGAAAGAAGGCAAAGGACCAGCCGTCTGCAAGGAGTATAAATCCTTCCCTTCCCCCACCATTCAGTCAGAACCTGAAGAAGCTTCTGGGACGAGAAGCGAAACATCTTCAAAGGAAAACAAGAAAGTCCAGTGGCCTCCTGAAAAAAGGAGCACCTTTGGGACAACTGAGGATACAAACGAACCTCCAGGCGGCCTCAATGACTCTCTAAAAAAAAATATATGCAAAAATGACCAGCTGTCTGCAAGGAGTATAAATCCTTCCCTTCCCCCCCACCATTCAGTCAGAACCTGAAGAAGCTTCTGGGACGAGAAGCGAAACGTCTTCAAAGGAAAAACAAGGAAGTCCCGTTGCCTCTTGAAAAAAAAAAAAAACACCTTGGGGACAACCAGGATCCTGGAGGATCTCCATCGACACTTATCTGCACCGATTCACTGGCCAAAAAAAAAAAAAAAAA